CCGCACGTAGAAAAGGCCACAGGCTACCTCCACCCCTACCGCCATCGCCACGCTACACCAAGTAAAACGAGAAATATAGACACACTAAACAAAACAAGACGCTATTAGGTTTTTGTCTCGCTCTACGTTCCAAAACACCTCGCGACTTGGAAATCCGCCTAGCAGTTTGCCTATCTCGATTCGATATCAGCCACGTATCGGGAGGTTTGAATACGTTACGGTTTTCAAACAACTTATCTAGATGACGGGATGACGCGAATCGACGTCACGATCTTAATTACCCTTGCAGAGCAAATCGCATGGATCGAGAATTCTACCATCACTATAGCTCGATCGAACGACTATAGACGGCTAGGCAAAAAGATCGAAAACTGCTAACTCGTCCGCGATCCTTAGAAAATGAAGACATCTAGCCTTCAAAGACTCCCCGACTCCTTTTGCCCTGCGATGTTAAAGGTCTCACATATATTATTCTCTCAGAGCGTTACCTTAACTGGTACACAATTTTTGCGGTGACTTACAGCCACGAGGAGAAAGCGGCAAGGAACGGTGCAGTTCTTCCCTTCTGGCTGCCGGCCATGTTTGCTTTCTATCAACGGGCTTGTCTAACGCGAGGTTTAATTACGAGGACACGTGAGGAGATGAATCTTGGGTTCGTTAAAGTGTCAGTTGTAACCCAAGGTAATCGACTACTGCTCATGAGAACGCGGTTTACTGTTCTTGCTAGTACACGGTAGTTTCGTTTTATTACTAATGGTGCTATTATGGGGATATCGAAAGATATTTATACCTAGATTCTCCTACACCAAAAACAATATACCGAAAGATAAATACTCGAGGTATATATACCTATGTATAATAGGTATCCGGCATGGTGTCACGCGAAAACCAGCGATTTAAATTATCTAACATGGCGGCAGAGGAACGCAAAAAATGCAAACAGGAGAATAGTTGGAAAACTGTTCGATGTTAAACAAGCCAAAGACTGACTTTAGGTACCCGTGTAAAAATTATATTCGATCCTTGCGATGCTCCTTAATCGAACAACAAATCCGAACACCCTTATCAGATTATACGATAGCAAATGGTTAGCTATATTCACCAGATGACCATCGCGTCTACTTTCATTACTTTTCCGCCAAAGGCTGAAGAGAACGGTTCTTGCGAGGGAACCTGTTATCGACAATGCTGTCGGCTTTTACGAGACACGAAACTGGTATATACGTTTCGGTACTTTTTATACTAACCGTATAAAAAATACGATGGATGGAGGAAGGATGATACACGACAGCGACGGTTTTAACCACGTTTCATATTGGAACGTCTTATATTATAGAATGGGTGGCTACGACTTACTATAAAGCAATCCTACCGCCGCGAAAAACACTAGCTAGCATGGGGTCGTCCAACTTTATCCTGCCATTGAATCTCGTAAGATGGCGCAGTTTGGGGTTCGACGAGGCTCCCATCGACGCGTTGCGTAGCAATTCGTCGATGTAAGAGCGCGCCCGGTGCGTAAACCTTTTCCCCCTTTGCCGCGCGCACCGCGACGCCGATCGGATCTATAGAAAGGTAGCCCGTTTGCTCGAGTTACGAGCGTGCGTTAAAGTGATGGAAGCTCTTCTTTTCCATAGGTGAACTTACGACGGTCAAGGGGGCTGGGTATGGCCGGATTAAAGCTCGTGAAGTAAAGTAACGACCTCCGAGGTAGAAGAAGATTGAAAGACAGAAGAGGAAAGGCTGATGAACGTAGGGAAGGTGACCGGGCGATTTAACGACGAAGCGTAGAAAGTCACCACTCTCGTTTGGCCGTTAATACGAATTTTAATCGTTCGTCGTAAAGAGGTCGCGCGTGCAGCTATACGCACGTGGAACATTTCGAGGGATTCGCGGATTCGGGCGATAAAGATACTTTTATTAAATCTTGCTGTTCATGGTCCACGTTCTGTCCCGTCTTATCTTCCTCCCCCGCTTTTGTTCCTACGCCGCACTAAAAACCTCGATGGTTTACGATACATCGTTCGTTCTCTGCCCCTTTATGGTGATCGTGACGACTGAAAGGACAGTACTGATGTATCCTGATATCGTTTCCGTCGTATGATGCGCACTCTCCCGTCGGCGGATTTAGACGCAAACAGACATTCTTTAACGTCAAACTGGTTTGTTTAATGACCTCGTACTTCTTTTTGCCATACCGTTATGTGGCACCGTGATCGTAACAGTACATAGTATTGTAAAACGCGACCAAGCGCGAGGTGTCACTCATCCCACCGTGGAAATATTTCACCATTGACAAGTACCCGAACTAAAAACTAGTCACCTTACCGACTGATCCATGTGCGTCTTGCTAATATTACGCTTATCGACAGATCTGTCCGCGAGAATCTTATTAGCCGCGTCCACGCATTCTTGCTCGTATAATACGAACTAAAGGACAACCAATAAGAATCACTCGACGCAGATCATCCTGCCATTTTTCGTATTCATAACCCGAACAATAAGCTGTACAGAAGAATAGGTTAGGATGACTGGCAACGATAAACTTTTCAACGATGCTAATGCTATTCCTTTTAGTAACATCTTTAAATGGTAAATATGTAACACCGCATCTGCGACAACGGCAATCGATATTAATCAAAGTTTATCCCCGAAAATCGCGCGGTCGATAATGCGCATTAGAGAGGATACGCTTTGAGAAATCACCTAAAGGTGGTAGAACGAACGCTAATGCGAGTGGTGGGGGTTGTGGGAGATCGAAGAGAAAAGCCAACGACTATTTGTCCCTTAACGCAAGGCTAACAGGCGCGACTTAACGTGAATTATTAAGCGTTTGCAGTTCACGCGTCGCGTGTTCGCCGGCCTGAGCAAGATAAAGCGACAGGCGAAGAGGCGCGAGCGGTATATATACCGGAAGGCTGATGCCGCCAGCGGGGCCGATTAATCGCCCGGGGAACCAGTTTGTCGGAAATAAAATCTGCCCGGTGGAATCGTTGCTTCACCATAGGACGTCAACGTGCCGACCTTCTCGTTTTAAAAGTGTGCCCTGCAGGGGCGTGTCGACACCACCGGTGCGCTTCTCCCGGTGCATCCTCGGCCGACGTATCATCGCTATCATCGGGGCTTCCCCGATCATGCATACCACTCGCGTGTCCGATCGAAAGGGATTCTTCGTCTATAAGGCACTTTAGACCGATCAATTTTACGTTTAGCTGTTTACAACTTCGCCGACCTGTCTTTATACTTCTCCACCTATAAATACGTCAAATTCGTTTTTTCATATTTCCATTATTTCTCTTTCATCGATAAATAATCGCTAAAATGTAAAATGATTTAATTCGCTTTGGAAAATACAGGTTTGAAGCATTTTCTTACTCTTTCCGAATATTATAAACGGTTTTAGTCGAAATTCATGAAATTTAAAAAAATATTTGTTTGATATAGGGAAATGTCGATAATACCGATCGATTCGTCGCGATTGACAGCATAAAGCCAGGCGAATATCGGTAAGTAACCATATAGCGATATCTATGAACAATAGGTGAAACGATCTGTAGAGAATTGTCCTTCGATGTAAATGTTTCGTCATCGTATCCTCCATACGTGCCTTTCTATGTACGGAAACGTGATCGCGTACCTTTACGTTCGCGAATATCTCGTGCGCTTCGTCGATAGTGTGTTTCAAACTCTAAAATAAACGCTTACACCGTAGAAACCTATATCGTCTCCCCCATAAGAATGACGCCATAATCTCGCGACCCCGTCGCCTATCAAATACGCATTTCGCACTAAACTCGATCGGTTACATGCCACTTTCGCAGCGTTCATTCTTTCGACAGCCTCTCACAGGATCTTGCAAAACAGTTTCGCGATAAATTTCGAACCATACGAATGTTCATATACCGGGTCGTTAATCATACGAAACAAGACCTCTACCGGCAGAGGAAAAAGCTATTCATTACGGTAATACGTTTCATAAAAGTAGCTACGATAGTCATGGTAGAGCGACGATAATTAATAGGCAATTGTATCAAATAAAATTACGTATGAATAGTATAGGGTAAACATTGGGTGTAGCAAATTTGATAGAACTACCAATCTATTTTTCGTTTAGATGCATGGCGTAGTTTTGGGGGCGCATGGTGGTCGACGCGAGAGTTAATTGACTTTTCCGAATTCGACCGGTTAATTGATGTGGCGCCGCGATCGCTATATCGACGGCTCGGCAGGGCACAGAGGGCTGCCTTCCGGCACCGCAGCGTGTGTCTCCTATAGGAAATTATCGTAAACGAAAAGTTGAGCGAACGGATATTCCGATCGGACAAATGTAGATCGTGAGATTACCAAGCGGCGCGCGACCAGCCGACTACCACGAATTAATGTCGTACTCATTCCGCTTAGCAGGGTGAACGTTTATCTTCGACGCTGGCTTTTATGGAACATGCCGCCGATAAACTTGTTTGTATCTTTTTTTCCACTATTAGTATTTCTACATCGTAAATGGATAAAAATCGAGTACCATGCGGAAATTTAAAAGGATTTTTTAATAATACGTGAATATTTTGAAATACTTATTTTTCGTGCTTTATTCGTTATCTATATACTTTGCGTAGAAATTATATCTGTACATTGTCGCTGCTCGTCGACATTTATTTCTTTGGAGTTTTATTGATAAATCGAGTCGATTTAATCGCTTATTGAGTTAAAGAGCAATTTTATAGGTTAAGGTAGGACACTGCAGGGCCAAACGCAACACGCTTTTCGAGTATTCCTAACGTTTAAAAAGACGTTCGACGTAACGTCAGTCTTTAAAAGGGGAAAAAGAAATAGTCTTTTATATAGTCGTCACAATTGTACCAAGGGCTATTTAAATTATTCGCGGCACAAGGCGTGTCTCTCGAAGGGAATAATACAAGTGTGGAGAGAAGATGCAGTCCCTGAAAGGCATGAACCGAGATCTTATCTACACAGTAGACATAAACAATCGTGCTGTACAAACTCACCACCAGTTGGCCTGCGCGCCGTTTTGCCACGCGACAAGCAGCAACGGTACGAGTAAGAAGGTCTTCACGACGGGCCGCATCTTTGGTCGCAATTCGATGGCTCGCTGACTTTCGTGGATGGTTCGTTGTGCGATGGAAAAAAAAGAAAAGACAAGGTTGTCCGTCGCTCCCGTTTCAGCCACGCATTCTTACGAGCGTCGATATCGATCGAGGATTCGCATCGACAGTTGATCCCGAGGCTGACAGATCGAGATCGAACGTTGTCCGTGATCCGATTCGATCGCTGTGTCGGACGATCCCAGTTCCAGAACACGCCGGCTTTCTCTTTTTTTTCTCTTCCTTTAGACCGTGTTTCCTCTTACATGTTTTCCGTGCCGAATGGATCACTGATCTCGTGACAGATGCGCGAAACAGCAACGAAAAAGACGCTATCTTTTGTCCCGCCGTGCACTCTTTTTACCACACGATATCGCAAATACAACCACGGTTTTTAAATGATACAAAGTGCGCGAAACGTTTGACCAATAATAAAAAAAGCACGGGAAACAGGGCAATTGATATTGTGTTGCGGGAAATATCGGAGTACATGTAAGTTTGTGATATGATGTCCGGCGAATATGAGAGGTTCGTTTCGACAATGCGAAGCGAACACGAACGTGATGACACTCCGTGAACGTTCGCGTACGTACTGCGGCGGGTAGTCACGAGGAAAAGGGCAACGGGGCTCTCTCGATGGGCGGAGCCTCCGGTCACTTGCTGCCGCGCGATTGGCTGTATCATGGCAGAGCCACCGAGGCTCCACTCGCGTTAATTAAGCATTTCGGCACTCCGTCCTGACTCCGAGGATCGCGCGTCAGTTCGCTCGCTCGCGATTCGTTCGCCAACCGCGTTTATTTCCGCGACTTTCCTGACAAACTCTAAAAAAAGAGCCAGTGAATATTTGCACAACGGAGAAATAAAATGCCTGCGCAGCAAGACAATCAATTTTTTTAACATTTTTCTAGACTAAACAAAGTGAACTTCGTTACAAATCAGTTGATGAAAATAGATTCAATTCCGCTGCTATAATCGAATTATACTTTCCACGCAGTGAGTAATTGTTCCAGATAACGTAATTACTAACAGTATAGACCAATGACGAATGAAAACGATTAGATATACTAACGGTATAATCTTATAAAGGGATGACTTTCTCTGACGTGAGAGACATCTGTAAAACAAAAGATTGAAATGCAGAACGTCATATGTGTTATGCGTATCTTATGCCATAACCTTGTTTATAAAGGAAAACATCGTCCGCAATAAAATACTTTAATCACAACAGCACGCATTCTACCGAACATATTTCATGTTTCAGAAAAGTCCAATTAAAGTAACATTGTAATTTTTTTGACATCTGATTGATATTTAATTTATTAATTACTTTTCAGTTGCCGATTCATTTAAATCAGCTGCCAGTCGGATATATTTCAGATCAGTGGAATAAATTTCTCATTTAAATAACATTTATTGAAACTCGCCTTTGTTTGAAAAACGTGTTCATATCGAAAGTAAGCCAAGTTAAGTATCGGAAAAAATGATCGGTTAATAATCGTTATTATTAATTCGATATACGTTTCATTGGTATTACTTATAAAGTAGAGTGGACGATGTACTGTTATACGACATATTAATTAATTATTTTATAATAGGTCGTGCTTTCAGTAAAACGAAGTGAAATGAAGCAAAGAAAGAATACAGTGACAAAATTTGCTCTAATTTCAAGGAACCAAGCGTGATTAAATGGAAGTTCTGAAACATAAAATAATAGTAACATTTATCAATTTTTTTGTGACAAAACGTCCGTGAAAATTTCTATGAAATATTTCTCATATAGTTCTCGTGAATGAGTTTCTTATAGCGATATGAGATTTTAGAACAAAGATTATCTTAAGAATTATATATATGAGACTGACAGAGAATAAATTTCGATATAAAAAAGTATATTTACTTTTAAATATGCAAAAATGAAAAATTCAGGTAACAAAATTAACTTAGTTATTTGCAAATATAAGAAATTATTTCATAAATTGGGCTTAATATATCTTAAAAATGAGACGCAAAATGTCATTGCATAATATTTAAAATTTCCTTTTCCTAGTATTAAATTTTTTAAGAAAATTTTCGGCGATTAAATTCAAGGTAGAATAGAGATAAAGAAGATAGTTTCTCCCCCTAGGTAACATATCAATGCTTAGAAAATATCTACATTATCGTCCCACCACTCCGTCGGTCACTACTAGCTTTTAATTTTTACTAATCTAATTTTAATAAGTTTTTAAACAGAATAATATTTTTCCAAGCATATGCGAAAACAAAGTTAAATGTTGAATAAAGTTTAGGATATTTGATTTTCTTAAATTTCATTTACCATTGATGTTGCAAAAATACCTACAGTCGATTATTAATTTTGACCTTTCGAATGTTCATGATAATTACATTATAGGGTATAATATAGTTATATTAAACTTAGTACTTATACGAACTTGAACTAAATTTACTATATTAATATAATAATGTCTTAAAAATGATTCATTTCTAAATAAGATAAACGCCTATAATTCTTTAATATATAACATCAGTTGATAATAGAGAACACAAACTTTGTTGTATTATCAGCTATTATTTTATCATTAAATGGAAATATATTATAGTAATGGTTACTCTATTAAATGAAAATATAAAATTTGGAAAAGGGATTATTAACGTGTATTCATATTTTTAACAAAGTGTATTTTATTTTGTATGGAAACGGAAAACTGATATTTTCTTATTTATACGTTATCAGTGGACAGGTACTACAGTCGTATAATTTTCATGTCATAACCATGATATACAATATGCAGTACTAAAAATTACATAAATATACAAGGCACGTGTACCTGTAACTTCTGATTATATCACATATGTGTAATTAACTTGACTTGTATTGCTTCAGTGATAGTTGATCAGAGATTTTGATTCGTACATGATAATTAAACGAATCAATTATTAGATATTATCGTATGTACAAAACTACAGATATGATTTTCTTGGCATTAAAACAGTCTAATGATCACACAGTTGTAAATTCTGTTTGGCGTTGTGAAGGGTTATAATATAAACCAGCCATAGATTCTTGTAAAGCTCTTAAACATGCAACATGTGCCTTAAATCCACCTGCCCTTTCTGCTGAAGATTCAACACGCACATGAGAAACATATCCACGAGCTTGTAATTCTCTCCAACCAGGTGGTGTTGGACCATCAGTTGTTTGTCTAATAGGAGTGTAAGAGTATAGAGGACCTTCTTCAATCTTTGGTATGGGCAAATAATTCTGACTTCCCTGATTGCCAAATTTAATACCTGTACTAAACTGTGTAGCTTTAGCAGGTGCTGCTTTTGTTTCTTTTTTAGATGCTTGAATAGCAGAGGCAAATGTTTCTACAATATTTTTTGCATTTCCTTCTGAAAATGTAAGCTCATCTATTAACGCTTCTTTTTCTCTAATTTTTTTTCTTTTAGCTTCCATTTCTTCTTTAGCTATTTCCATTCTTCTTTCTTCCTCTTTTTGTTTCTCCAACTCAATCATTTCCTCCAGTTCATATTCGCATCTACCGAGCTTAGATTTACTTTTTGTTATTTGATCTTTGTTGTCCTTTTTGTACTGTTCTATTTTTTTATTTGTTTCTATTACATCAATATTGTTAGCCAAGTTGTATATTAGTGTTTCAATTTCTTCTAAATAATCATTGTATTCTCTTAATGTTAAAAAGTCCTCTTCTTTTTTATTGAAGTCTCTAAGTATTCTTTTCCTTATGTTTACTTCCTTTTCTACCATAGGATCCTCAAACAATTGTACACGAAAATTGGCTCTTCTTAAAGGAATTTTACATTCGGGACATGACCCAGAACCTGAGAAATTGTATAATAAACGCTAATATCTTTTATGAATTATTTTTTAAGCTACCAAGAATACTAACCTTTAAGAAATAATAAGTCAACGCAGCTTTCACACAATGTGTGTCCACAAACGTTTACCATCATTTTTAATGATGGATTTCTGTATTTGGTAGTTTTGCATCTTGGGCAGGCTTGATCATCCATTATTGCGAGGTATTAAAAGCAAATACAAAATTTATAGGAACCACTGTTTGCTTTCGCAGAGCGATTAATCAGTTACGAAGTAGAAAAATTCACATTACGACGTGTGACATAAGCTTAACATGAATTCAAATCAACTAAATCACTGCACATACTTAAATAACGAAACCGTAATAACATTCTTACATTTCGAAGTTACAGTAAAATATTTGTAATATCGCCATTCCGTGACATAACCTATAACAAAAATTTCAAGCTATCAACGTGAAGCTTGAAGTTTGAAACTCGAAGAACAATCGATATTGGAATATCGAACATGAAATGTGCATTATTAAAGTCGAAGGTATCGAAAGTATTTATGGCCATGCATGAATTACTAACCACTTGTAAAGCATAAATTGTAATACAGCTATTCATATATTAGTCATAACCTATAATTCTACTAATTAATTAATGTGTAACGTTATAATTTAGAAATGATTTTACATTAGTCGTAACTGAATTCTAGTACAGTTAGAAAATAAATTATAATCTTACATTTCTTTTAAATAATTCGTTCATCGAATTGAATATATTTTCATACGCTTTTAGAATTTATAATGACAGTTCCGCTTTTTACCGCGCTTATTTAGGCATTTAAAACGTAAATAAATTAAGAGATAAACTTATCAGAAAAACGTGTACTGCATGCTTTAAACTGAATTTGTGTTTTTTTACAGCTTTCAATCATCGCGCGCTGTTACGTGATTACCGAGGCAAAAAGGAAGAAGAAAGCGACAGAAGGATCTCTGGGAGAAAAAGCTCAAGTCAAATCCCTTGATACCAAAGCCGTATGTCTTTTGTGCGTTTCACTTCTAACAATTTAGGGCATCGATTTCTCTTTCAATTCCATCGTGTAAATTGTACATTAAAAAACGACAAGAAAGAAATGCGATGCATGTCCATTATATTCGAAAGAACAAAAGGGTTGGTGTACTTTGATGCCTTCCAAGGTTTTCCTTGTTTCTTCTTCCAACGGTCGATGTTACGAACCTACGAACCCTATTATTTAACTCTTTTCGTAAAATCATCTTGACGTACAGCGAAAAATGTGTAACATTTCTTGAAGATATTCTAACGCCTCTCTCGCTAACATGAAATTCCTGAGATTAGCCAGAATTTTGTCCTGGAGAAATTTCCTAAAGTGAGCACCGTATTCCACTATTTTCTTATACCGAGGAAATTCACATAAAATCTCTTTTGGATGATAAATTCTATAAAATTTATGCTAGGCATTTATACATAACATATGGCATACATTTTCTAAAATACATTGCGATGTCAATTTTACCTGAAATTTATTTATTATTTTTAAGTAAACATTGTATAAAATAGTAGTCCCAAGCACCATAGTGAATAGTAAATAGATGTTCAAACCTTTTTAATGCGCATATTACGCAATATTGGATAGCTTTGTCTAAGTAATTCTAAAAACACTCGAGGAAACGGCCTCGTTTTGTTTACTGTCTTTTATTCGTGCTACGATCAAAGCGATAAGCTCAATCCAGCCCGTTTACGTAGAAAACGATGCAAAAGAGTAACTCGAATTTCTTTTTCTCCTTTTTTCCTGGTATGTTGCATGAAATTTGTTACGGTGCATAAGGTGTGTTAGTGCGTGTGACACGTGTAAGGCAATGACGACGAGGACGACGATCGGGTCACCATGGAATTCGATTCTTGACTAGGGATGCTGCACGCTCACCCCATACCAGTGTGTGCGTGACTGTAATAGAACTAAAGGGATACGCTTGCGCCGGACGATGTCTACCCCATCTTCCCGTTGACTTCGGGTGAGGGAAAGCGGGGCGTGTGCAAGGACAGATGGCAGGGCGTCTCTCCCGGGCCGTGTCGCATGCACTGTCAGTTTCGCTCGGATACTCATACATGAGTTTTATCGTGCTCGTCGTTGAACGCAATAACCCCACAAAGATTACATATACGCTTGATTCCATTTTTCCATTCGTGTGTAACACATTCCTTAAATTACAAGAATTATATTCAGTTCTACCGTTCGTTCCGTTCCGTCGATTAAACAGCTCGAGATTATCCTACGACTATCTTCTGTCGCCGTCGCTATAAGAGAAGAACGAAATGGTTGAGATAATTTGATTTACACAATAGGATATATTTCGACGAGAAAGAAGACACGAAATATATTCATTGAACGAATATTTTTTCCAACCTTTCATTGGTCGATTTCAAAGAACACGAAGGGATAAAAACGACAGAACGGAGAATCATTTGCCTCTACCGTTGGTCAATTACGCAGTTCATGGATAAAGGCATGTTCTAGCGGGAAGACAGAGAAGCAGTAGTGCCGCGGCGGTGGAAGCGAGACGAATGATTATGGGGAAGAAGTATCGTGGACGATTTCTATGCATGCCAACGCGTAGATCTCGAATTGCGAGGACATAATGGCGACATTGAGTGAAAAAGCGACAGAAAATCGGATACCTATCGATTCGTCTGTTACTTCCCACGATTTTGATCTCTACGCACCTTTGTCACAAGATGCTGTATCGAACGCTTGATTCTGGATTATTGCGCCATACCAGGGGAAGGTTAACGCACCGCGGATGGGATCACTCGGAAGTAATTAATAAGTGAAAGTCGTGGAAAAACGATCGCGAGAAACGTGAAAAATCCTTTGTTTCGTTTCTTCACATTCCTCTCAATCTCCCTCCTATTCCGTCGATAGAAAGCAGAATTGTGGTGCACCTTTTTGAAAAAGGCAACGGTTACACCGAGCGACATCGTGGTTCGACTATGAGAGAAAGAAACAAAAAATGAAGGGTTTATTTTTTACCCTGAGTTTGTTGTTTTCGGGTAAGTAAAAATTTATTAGCCACGTGCTTAACAATTCATGATGGATTGCTTTTTCGATTGCTCATATAACGGTCGAGCTTCAATAATGAAGCTTTCGAAATAATTTAACGGAATTTTTTTATGAATAGAATTTTACTTCGAAAATGGCGTAGAGAAAATAATCGAGATTTTTCATGTATATTTTCGTGTACAAAGAATGTCGTTCCGCGAGCATACGAATAGGAATATAATCGCGGTGCACGAGGTAGAACGATAAAGATATTGAGAAGATTCGTTATAATAACGCGGACGCTGTTGCCGGATATATTTTACCATGGAATACGCACAAAGAGGGAAAAGTGACAGAACGGGTTGCCGATGATAGTTCACTGTCACGTATTATGAGATAAAGTAGTTTCTGAAACTGCAACGTTGAAACTTTAGCACCTACTTTAATACTTTATGACGAAGTATAGCAAAGTCTATGTCCGAACGAGGAATATATATATGTATGGACATATACATATATGTATCGTCGCCTTTTACCGCGTACCACTTCGGGACACGTTAAAATGATTTCTTGCCTCTTCCGGCCGTATATCGTGCACGCCCCTTCTGGCGCGCACGAGAGTTCCACGGTAAACACGAGGAGTTAACAAAATTCCGATAACGAACGACGAAACGTGGCGAGCATTTTCTCTTTTCTCCATTCTCTTCGCGGTTTCCGCCGTTAAAGCGGTTCGTAGTGCGGCGAAGCACGGGAAATAATCTTTCGGGTCAAAGAACAATCCACCGCAATCTGAAGATTGAAACGAGCCCACTGAAAACTGCTTTTTGTGTACCTCTCTCTCTATGTGTGCCTATATTTCTCTGTGTACATCTGTGTACGCCTATGTATGTGCGCGCGCGCACGTTTTGTTTTTTGTGTTTCTTCTTAAAGTGCAAGGACTTGCCCGGAGCACGTCTGATCACGAAATGCATGAGAACGGAGCACTGGACCCACTTGACCGGGGACCATACTTCGACGTCTCAGCTTCTCGTAACGTCACCGTGCTGGTTGGTAAAACGGCAACACTGAACTGCCGAGTACGGAATCTAGGCGACCGCACGGTAGGTAACAAATCTATATTTTCGTATTAAAGATGCGGATCACGTGACCTCGCGCGGTAAACGAGATTATCAACAGTCAGCAATGATGGGAATTCGATAATTCGTAATGACTTTCCTTATAATTGTTTGGCTCGAAATATTTAATAGGATAGCAACAGCGCGTATTCTACACAGCCAGCGACGATTTTAGAAAAGCTGGCAGATTAATACGGTAGAAACAGGACGAATAAATCCGGCAGCTCTTCATAATGTAGCGGGGATACAATTTAAGTTCGCCCATTAGAAGGTTACCGTATAACGTGTCGAACTTCCGTATTACAATACCGATGGTTAAAAGAGCGAAGTTTTCTATTTCTTTTTAGTTGCTTGTTTCATTGTTACTCGTCGTTTCCTATTTACAAAAGGAATTTAAGGAAAATTAAAGGCTTTGCCTTTTTATAATATGCCCAGCGAAACAGTTTTTATTCCACGCTTTTCCTCCCTCCGTTCCCTTAACCCCGCTCCTTACCTCCACCCCCTTTCTCGTTAGCTTTTTTACGAAACATTGATGACACTGTACACTGCATTTTGTTTCTAAGAAGAGCCATTGTCTGCTGTTAATTTTGAAAAAAAAGAATCGCGTTAGGTATATTGAAAATGCAGCATCGTGATAGGTTTAGGAACACAGGTGTTGGATCACGTGTTGCTGTAAATACGTGTTACATGATTCAGCTATGTATAAAATCTAGTGCATAATTTATCGCGTTACGTGCGTGCTTTTCCAAAGCCGTTTCTACGTGATTGTGTTCAAAGTTTCAAACAGGCACTATAATTTTCATTCGTTCTAACGAACTTATCTTAATTTAGTATTAATTGTCGGTAACACTTTAAGCTCTATTCGAAATAACCTACGTTGGTCAGTTGTTTAGTACAATAGTCTTGACTGCGATTTGTAAAAGCCACGATGGCCTTTCGTGTGCGTGCAGAAACCAGATTATCTGCCACGTCTTTCTCGTTAATATTCCTTTGTGCGACGACATACCGATTATCGGTACGTCCTACATACTAATTTGTAGTCTATTTAGACGGTGGCGCTAGCGTGCGTGCGAGGAAATGCGGTTTAACGAGGCGGAACAACAAATGGCATTAAACCATCACCGTGCAATCAATGACGGTCGCTGAAGGCGTGAAGTACGACCGTTTTGCTGGACTCTATGACTGCAGAGTGTACATCGAATGATGCATATTCAACGGCTCTCATATATACACGCGTTCACATATGCATGTACATGCGTAGGATCGCAGCCGTTTCGTGCATCTATTGCCTACGTGTGATCTATGTAAACAAAAAGAGTGCCATCTAGTGGATAACGTTAATAATTATTTAGTCGACAACAATCGGTGTCCAACTGATGCAAATTGATGTTTGCGAACATATCAGTGTGCGTTACAGGAGCATTAATTACAGTTATCTATGTCGTCGTTGTCCTGGTAACGTCACATTTCTTGCGGTGCTGTGTACACGCCGTGATATATGTGTCATCGATGTGAATCAGCATTGAGCGGTTTTTACGCGTCAGGTAGTATGAAAATCGGAGAATATGTTATACAGTTTTTGCAATATTCGTGGTAAAATGCAGTAAATCTCTATCCTTGTTCAGCTTTCCTTCCCTTTTCGGGGAAACGCCATTGTTGGAATTAATAGCGAGGGCGCACTAGTTGGCGTTAAAAAAATATACGAGTGTTATTCAGTGCGCGGAAAAGTCAACAAATAATCGGTATAACTATCTCTCAGTAGTCGATGAGAAATATTATTTAAACACAGCGTTGCTGATCGGATATCGGAGATAGAATCAATTTCTAACCGTTATTTGTACGAATTGATAGTTAAACGCGAGTTCGATTTTTACTTTAAATAGTTTCGCATGCAAAATAGCACGGCCATAGCCATTTCATTATTCAGCAGCATTATTTACTCACGGATAGTCGTAGTTATCAGATTGATCCACTTCCGAATGAAATTTGTAAATCACCTTAAGTGATTTGTGCTTAATATATGTTTTTATCCTTTCTCTTTACATGTATGTATAATTTCATATGTATATGAGTATATATATATATATATGTATACTGTGTGTGTATAGGTATCCTGGGTAAGGCACAGGGATATCCACCTTTTGACCACTGGTCTTGAAACATACACGTCCGACCAAAGATTCGTGGCATCACACTTCCCTAGAACCGAAGATTGGTCGCTTCAAGTGAAATATTCGCAGCGCCGTGATTCCGGGATCTATGAGTGTCAAGTGTCAACAACACCACCGATCGGTCATTCGATGCATCTCTCGGTTGTCGGTTAGTTCGAAATCTGCTATTCTTCTTTTTATTCTTTATTTGGGTGTTTGTATTTCGCAATCTCCCCGTCGAACTGCATGTCGCTCTTGTCTCGCTGCCGATATTCGTAATTTCATTTCTGTCAAACGTCCGTTAGACTCGCTTCTAATATGTAATTTCTTCTAATATCGTAAAAATTTGTACATTTTCTACGAAGAATCAAATTCGCGTTCAGAGTATTTTATTAATCTTGATTTTATATCGGATGTCAATTAAAGAACTTCTTTTTTCTTTCGTTTGCAATCAAATTGTATTTGTGTTTCGGAAGCATCACGGAGGCGAATGTGTTTCGTGTTTTTTGTTATAGATTTTCTTTTCTGTGTTTCTTCCCGATTCGAAAAAAAATTAGTACGGATCGTGACTAATTGGGTTTTCGTTTATTTTCCATTGTGCAGAGCCTGTCACGTCGATAGTTGGCGAATCAGAGATGTTCATAAACAAGGGCAGCACAATGAATCTCACTTGCGTGGTACGTTACAGCCCTGAACCACCAACCGCCATTTACTGGACCCACGATCATGAGGTACAGCACTTTTGATACATAAGTATACACGCTTTTATGTGTAGGTGCGAGTGTCGGCGAGTATGCGTAAATTATTTTGTGCTCTTCCGTATAAATTATTGCGGGAAAAGAAAGAGCCAAAAGTAGGGCGACCAGAACGTTATTGATCACCATTAACACGGGATACGGATGAACGTAATTTTAATTGCAATTCGAGAACGGAAATCGTGCCTTTTTCGTGTTTCGTACACGAATTCAGTGATATTTCATAATAACGCATCGATATGGGAATTCCGTTAAAATCGAATCGCTTAATGATAACGATATTTAACGCGCAATTTTAACAAATTAATTTGCCATTGTTGCATAAATTTCGAAGTTACGTTTAAACGACAAAATGATAGCGGGATAAAAGATCAGGAAAAAGAGTAAGGGGAAGTAGGATTTCCACATATGTGTGCGAGTTACGGAACATTGTTCGTGCAATGCAGGACCGTATTCACGAGTGGTCATATCGAGCACTTGATTATATAATTTCCCCTAACTAGGTTAAAGGAACATTTGAGGAAACTCCGGGCAAGGTTAATTTTTCCAGCCACCACATTTTTTTTCACTTTCTTTCATTCTCTCCTTAATTCTCATTTTTTTTTCATTTTCCCCTCGCTAACGAGTATCTTTTTTATACGCCTGTTAGGTGAGCGTAGGCAAACGAATTCAGCGAATAGATTCGAAATTATTCAAATTGTAGTTTATGAAATGAATTATTCAATTATTTCTCGAAGAAGCGGTCGCCATGCTCCCGGCATACTGAACGAATTGTGGCTCGTTCGTGTCTTTACAAATTTACGCCCTTGCTGAATTCTGATTGCGTTTGAATTTCCGAAAACTCCTTTCCCGCCGACATCGTTGGCCCCGTTCACTTTACGCGGAAGTTTTCACCGTGTTTCAAGCGTATCCCCCGGAATCAGATAGTATTCAATTACGAAACGATTCTTTCGCGTGCAGCCTAGGTATTTCGTATCATTGATATTCACTTAGCGGAAGCCCATTTTATTATTCATTTTACTACCGGATCCGATACAATTTTTCGCCTCCTTGAATCTTGCACCATCCTCCATCTTGGCCTCCGTCCGCCCGGGTTGCTTTCCCTTTTTTTATCTTCTTTTTTTTCTTTTCCTTTTTTCAAATCCTCTTCTTTCCTTTCCTGTTTTGCAACTCTCTCTACATTCTTTTCTACAATTCCGCCTGACTTTTTTTCTTCCCATCTACTATCTCTCTCTTGAACTTCCTTCAGTTTCCCTTGCTTCTCTCCCCCCTCTCTCTCTCCCATATACTTTCCGCTTCGCCTGTCTTTCTCCCACGCAAGCCGCATTGTCTTTCCCATCCATCCTTCTTAAGAGTGTCAGTTCTCTCTGGCAGCTAGCTCTTTGTGTATACCACCGCGTCTGTCTTTACAATTCGCAGCTTCCACTGTCTTTCACTCATTTTTACTCTCGTTCTCCCTCATGCCCATTATCTCTGTCACCTTCCCTGCAACAGCACGCCCACTTTCCAGCTCCATCCTTCGGCCTGGCACACGCAATTTTCCATCGTCCCTCCTCGTCGTGTTCCGTCGCCCCGTCTCTCCTCTCCTATCCTCTCGTTTTCATCTTTTCTATCCCATCGTCCCTCTCCCCCGCTCTCGCTCGCTGCGCTCCCGCTCCCCCCACCACCGGCGTTTTCTACCCTATCGACTTTACAGTCTCTCTGTTCCTTCTTTCTCGTTCTATCAGCCCGTTCCTCTTCTATACACCGCCCCCTCCGTTATTTATCTCGCCTATTCCCCTTCAAACAGGTTGCTTCTGGTGTATCAGCTCGTCCCCCTTGCACGCATCCCTCTCGTTCAACGACAGACAGTGTGTCAACACCTGCAGTACACACCCTCTGGTCTTGCTGCTACCTTTCTTCTCTTTTTTTCCCCCTGTCCCTTTCCCCCTCGCCTTTCTCTCCCCTTTTTCATCTTCCTTTTTTTAACCCTTCCTCCAACGCTGCACCCACTAGTTCTCTCCTTACGACTCCGCACCCCTCTCATCGTGCGTTTTTTTTTTCACCTATTTTCCGCCCCTTTAGATCATTTCTTCCTCCGTTTCGCTTTTTCACCCTCGAATTGTCGTTGCATACGCTGCTACTGAAAATTCACGATTGTATTCCAAGCGAGACTGAGACGCTCCAGGGGCGGCGCTATGAATTTTCCAAGTTCTGATTCAAGTAATTTCCCATATGGTAATCCACGTAAAGGCCCTATCTGTGACAGGTCCTGTACAAATCACAGGTTTCATTGTGAATTTTTATCTCATCTCGATTAAAAAGGAATAAAAAAGTTCACTTTTTTTTTTTTAGTAATATTCACATACAAGTTTTTCTTAGTGGTATTCACATCGTGCAGTGTCGTGCATGTTTGCCATTTCCTTGTTTCAAAATATTGGTCTTTAAAGTATTCGAAATATTGGTCACAGTATTAGAGGACTTATAACCGCGGGACATTTGAAATTAAGATTGCGAAGCTTGTAGATGTATGAGAATGTGATTTTAAAAAAGGCAGAAATGGAAAATTATTCGGATAACGTTATTTCACGAATGTCCTATAAAGAGCTGACGAACTTCTCCGCTAGAAGTCGCACTAGTCCCACCACAAATCTTTCGATTCCCTCACTGGTCAATCGACTAACCACGACTGTGCATACATGCTTACATGTACGCACATATCTTGCACAGCTTGCAAGTTTTCAATTCGTCATCCTTTCTCCGTGACATTTGCTGACAGAATTGAAATAATTCAGTAAATTTCAAACTGTAATAACAGTAAAAACTGTCTTTAAGGCATAAATACCGCGATACCTTTTTATCGAGGTTAGGAAGTTTCATCGATCGGTATAACCAAGAATGTGGAGTTTCATTTAAAAAGGAAACGTAAATATATGTACATTTCAGATGCTCTGCGGCATGAAAGTGAACTAAATTCATTTTAGAATGCTCTCTATTCTATACAGGAATATTTTCCGTTATGACATTTTTTCTAATTTCTATACGTTTTAAAAATTCAATTTATTCCATTTACGTGGGGCACCATCTGCATTGCAAGAAAATGCGTACGCGTGGTTAGCTTTTTATACAGTTAGTTATTGTATACAATGTGTTCTAGGAATGATAGAACAACCGGAAAGGGTGGGATTGTACATATAAATACAAAAAAAAAAAATAATAAAATTTTTTAATTCAAAGCTTTGTTTTCGAGAAAATCGATTTTGAATATTCACTGAGTACGCGTGCATTTAGCCATGGCTTAGATGTATGGACCATCAATACATGAACATCGATGATACAACCGAGTAGATAGTGATTTTATATGAAAAAACAAATCGAAAATGGAGAATAAATTTTTCTCATTTGAAGCTTCGTTTTCGAGAAAATTGACTTTGAATATTCACTGAGTGGACCATCAATATATCAGTGCATTCGGTGAATATTCAAAGTCGATTTTCTCGAAAACGAAGCTTCAAATGAAAAAAATTTATTCTTTATTTTCGATTTGTTTTTTCATGTAAAATCACCCCCTACCGTTTTTACTGTTATTACTGGGACATCCTGATCAGTCTCATTTTCATATATTTCGACTCATTTTTGACAACTTTCCCATTGTTTCTCAGCATAGTGATACAGAAAGTTTTTGTTCCTTGGAAAATTGGTCTTAAAAGTCCCGAAGGAACTCTTTAATTCTAGACGATGCCAAAAATGGTCCTTTTTTAACATCTTCCTTTACCAACTGTTCAATACAGATATTTAATTTCAGCATTTAATTTATAATTCAGTATTTAATTTATTTAATTTCAATTTATTCGTCTTGAATCTATTATACGTTTCGTGTTGTCTAAACGAACTCGATAAAAATTCCTACGACAGCAATTGCAGTAATTATAGGTTGCAAAGGAAGTTCGTAATATCGACACGGTGTGGCGCACACGGTCCATACGGTTCGAACGGAAAGACACGAAGAATCGGTCCCTCAGGCGTCAGTCAGACTTCCAGTGTAATTAATCTTGGATCGATGAGAAAGTTAGCGGAAGATTTAATGTTCGCAGGGTTATTAGATTTCTTGCAAACTCTTCATCGAAAGTGTTCGTATATCCCCAATAAAAACCCTTCAAAACGATTTCTCTAATTGTCCGTTATCGGGAGATACAAAAGTATTTCTCGTGTCTCGTAGCCACCCTTACATCCACTCCGTCGATTTCCTTCCGGTTCTTCCCCCGGGGCGACAGGGCCGGCTCCTTCCCTGTTATTTCCCTACTCGATATCGTTCCCACTCTATTCAATAAGGCAATGAATCAATTAGTCAATAAAAAAACTTTTTCCACCCCCATCCCCCGTTACTCCCCGTTTCACCTCCACTCCCCCTGCCTCCTCCGAGTTTTCCGCCCGTTCTTTTTTCGCCTGTTCCAACTTCGCCCTCGTCCATTTTTACTTCTTGCCCGAGATCCTCGTCCTTTTGTTATTTCTGTCCCGACCACCCTTCAGGCGGGTTTCCACCGAGAGTTTCTCTTTCGCGATTCACTCGCCGCACATCGTGGGCGAGGTGACTGTGCAGAACGATCGGATTAATTTTTTCCCTCTTTCACCTCCTTTTCTTCCCTTTTCCATCGAAATCCACGAGACTTATGAAGCAATTTTTTAATCACTCGATTACATCGGTCGTGTCTGTTCCGTTTCCTGTACATACCCGTCTCTCGGTTGACGATTTTCCCTTGGTCAGTTCGTTAAACTTCCACGATGATTACTCCGTCTAACATGATCGTTCTCTTATATCCGTTCACAATTTTGCCTCTTTCACCCCTACGAGAGCTCCCTTTGCTAGTTAAACGTAACTTCCTGCACACCCTATCTCCCGTACACGTTCCTCCTTTCCTCGCGAAAGTTCCTCTCTCTTATTTCTTTCTTGTTATTCCAATCTTTTCCTTCATTATTTATCGCCTGAGTTCTGTTTT